CTGAGCTTGTGAATTTCTCTGACACAGGATGCCAGACCTACAGAGAGTTTAATGAAGACGGTAATCTGACCTGTGGTCACAGTGTGATAGGGGATGCAAATGCTGCAACCAGTTTCGATGGCCAGTTGAAATTTACTAAAGGGGTAGTTAATGGAAAAGTAGTGACAATCCTACGGGATTCTGGGTCGACAGTGATGGGTATAAGAGAAAGTCTAGTGAATGCGTGTGATTTGACGGGTGAACATATTGTGTGTCGAACCTTTTCAGGGAAGAAAGAAAAGTATGATTAGGCATGGGCCAATCTAAAATCAGCTCACTGCACAGGTAGAACAAAATTTGCAGTGCTAGCAGACCCTGTTGCTGATATTATTCTTGGCAACTGTAAAAATGTAAAGGATGTCTCTGAAAGTGAGATAATCGAGTGGCAGAGGGACAACATAACTTGCAATGTTGTAACTGGACAGCAGTCAGTGAGAGAGAGAGTGATGTGAATGAAAGTGTATGTATGAAAAATATTTTAACTGTCAACACATCAACTTAAACAAACCTCTAAGAGATATCCTACACAAATAAACATGAAATTTTTACTGGTAATGTTTATTCTAAAGAAGTGTTCATACTCCCTTCTAAACCAACTGACAAATTAGTGGTTGAGGAGTTCCATAATAGAACTGTCGTTCCTGACTTTACTGTTGTTGATACGACATATATTCTCTTTTCTGTACAACAAGACTTACCTGCAACCAAACAAATCTTTACACCTAAGATTAACCAACAAAATTCAGAAACATTATCTACACAGAAAACTGAAATTGGTAATGTACTCTCTGATGTGCCAGGCAGATTTACACACATTTACCAGCATTTACAATTAATAATCAACAAACCGGTCAAATTAAAACATGGTATATTATTTTTGGTATTGCAATGTATACTGTTGACATGTGCATGTTTATTTATGATGCCTCATAGATTACCTACTGGTCAAGGAACCCAATATTTTGGATTTACAAAACAACTCTCAAAATTCCAAATTTATTATGAGGATCTTCCCAAAACTTTGAATTTTGAAAACCCCACCACCAATAAGGAGATCCGAAGCTTACTCGACCTCATCAATCATTACAACCAATTTACCCCGAACATTATCCAAGAAACTGTAGTTTTTACTAAACTAGTAAAAAGGGAGCATTCCAATACAATTGAGTGGAACCGAGAACTAGATCAGACTTTCACCAAAATCAAGACTCTTTTCTCCAGTTCCCCCATTTTAAAGTTTGCTAATATAATATTAACCTTTGTTCTCAGATATCATGCCAGTGGTACGGCGGTTGTGGTATGTCTGATGCAGTGTGATGGTGAGATGTTACACCCAAACTGCTATGTGAGCAGTAGGTTGTCTCCAGCCCAGGTATACTATTTTACGGCATAACAGCAGTGTCTTGCGGTGATTGTCTGTGTGACAAGACTCAATCGTTACCTCCTGGGCAGACTTTTTGTCCTACAAACAGACAACCAGCCATTGCTCGTCATTAAGTCTGGTGCCCCAAAGAACAATCAAATCGCCAGATGGGCACTGCTACTGCAAGATTTCCAATTCACAATCACACACATCAAGGGCAACAGCAACAACCTAGCTGACCTATTAAGCCGGCTGTAAAACTATTGATTGCATAGTTGTATCCGGAAATTGACAGTCTGGTAACTTCAGAAATTTACAGACTATGTGAAACGACATTGTCTTCATGTATTCATGCCTTCTTGAAAATGCAGATGACTATGAATTGTTCCATAACTGAATTCTACACCAAGTTTCATAGATCCAGTTGAACAATAGTAAATGTCAAGTAGCAGTGTATACAAGTACTGTTCTAGTCTAAAACCAGTGAACTGAACAATCGTAAAAGATGACTCTGCATCAACATAGAGGTGATGATCATTCTAAGGACTTCAGCAGAAAGGAAAATATGAAGTATGAAAGAAGAGTGTAATTGGAATAAAAGGGAATGAATGTATAAAATAGAAGTCTATGTTGTTATTGTCATATTATAAGTTAATCTTATTATGTTCATCTTTAATATACTATGTTAAGTAGATATGTGTGTATATATATATAAACTATATGTGTTGTATGGATTAAATATGTTTTATTCGTTCTGTATGTGCTATATGTTTTATATGTTTATGTTACATGTATATTATTTGGTTTTGAATCGATAATTTTATTAATTCCATTTCATTCGCACAATTTTTATTTGTGTATTTTATTTATTTTGATTTGTAACTATTGTGTTGGTATTTATAAAGAGTAATTTATCTGTGTATTTTTCTTATTTATTTTGATTTGTAACTATTGTGTTGTTATTCATGAAGGGTAATTTATTTGTGTATTTTCCTCATTTATTTTGATTTGTAACTATTATGTTGGTATTTTAAAAAGGGTAATATATCTATATTTTTCTTATTTATTTTGATTTGTAACTATTGTGTTGGTATTTATGAAGAGTAATTTATCTGGGTATTTTTCTTATTTATTTTGATTTGTAACTAATGTGTTGGTTGGTATTCATGAAGAGTAATTTTTTTCTGTGTATTTTTCTTATTTATTTTGATTTGTAACTATTGAGATGGTGTTTATAAAAGGGAAATAATTTTGAGTTTGAAAATTATTTTATGCATATTTTGCTTATTTATTTCGATTTGTAATTGTTATTGTTTTGTTTGAATGAATATAGTGTAGTGATTTTTGTTTGTGAAAATGTATATGTATTTTGCTTATTTATTTTCAGTGTAAAATTATTTGTGTGACAATCCATGTGGATTTTACAAATATATTTTCTTTTCTTTTCCTTGCTAAAGATTTTTGCGAGATTACATAAGTAATGTTAATTGTTTAGTTTCCAATTATTTTTGTTTTAAAATTCTCGAATTGCAATAATAATATTATTCGGTTTTGGAAAATTAATCCGAAATTCATTACGTTTAAAAAGGTTACAATTGCTTTTTATTAACTGAGTATCTTGTGTGCAGCAAATGTAAATATAAAGTAGATGTTAGACAATAATGCATTATGAGTAGATAGTTTTGTAAAATAGTAAATATTGAAAATAATGGACAATTTAGTTTAGCAGTGACAATGAAATTATTTAAATTTTTTTGTTTAAATTGTTTATTTTGCTTTCTAAAATTGATAATTGACAGTTTAAATGAAAATTAAATTGTACTTTTACAAGGGCACTCACATGGAGAGTTAATGATGTTGTAACTAATATTGCATATATGGAGAGTACATTTTAGGAGTAGCACTATCCTTGGAGGATGGGAGTGTGTCCAACTGGCCACAGATTTGTTTACTGCCTATTTTGCACTGTGGGTCATATGGGGTGATTAGTGTCTTGGCAGGTACTGCGGATTCGCGGACACATTATACGACTGTAGGCCGGGGAGTCAGGTTATGATTCCTTTTCACAACCATGGACAACTCTTGTGGAGATAGTCCATGACGCCAACTGTTATTAATCACGGTGTTGTTTGTACGGCTTGGGAGTGTATACAGTGGCGTCTTACTTGCACAGTAAGTGAAGTAAGGTGTAATTGGGTCCCGGACGATTTGAGTGTCCACCCATATTATTACTTATATCATTACCCATATGATTTGCAGGTGTAATGAGTAGTGACGTATTTGTGTCAAGGGCTGATACCATTTCTACCCATTAGGGAGGGGCTTACCCATTGAATGTATATACCCATTAAATATGTGCCAGATTGTTTGTCCTTAGGTGATTGACCCAAAAGTACATGACTTATTTTTTTTTCCAGGTAACTAAATGTTGACGATATAATTTAAAAAGATGACTGTACATGATGGCAGGCCATGCGTTGCTGATACTTGACTTTGTCAGGATGTATCAGTTCAGAGTAAGGGTGAATGTCACAACCCTGTGAGTACAGTCAGTTGCGGAATGGACTACACCGTAGGGTGTGCGTGTTGAGGTGACACCCCAGGGTTGACACAAAGGTTAGGGCCGTGTCTGGTCAAGTCTGTTCTGTTGTTTGCACGGTGAAATTAGCGCTCAGGATAAACCGCTTGGCTACGACAAGAAAGGGTGAACTCTGTTGCAGACAAGTTCGCAACACGATTACCCCTTTGGAGGACTGAGCTGGTGAACGGGTCAAGAGACACGAGGTGGAAGGACAGGGAACATTCGGTGTGTGACGGTCAGACGAAGCAGACGTGTAGCGAGACAGTGATAGTATATTAGAGATAGGATATTTGTTTAGTGACTGCATAGATTACTTACAGTGTTCTGTTAGAATAGGATAGTCTTTTGTGTTGTGTATTTAACTGATACAAGGTATTGTATTGTGCCATAAGAGGTAAATAGGTTCCAGTTACTCCTGACCAGTTAAATCGTTTAAGTTCATGTTCTGTGAGAGAATGTCTAGCCTTGTCATACTGATCCTGCACTAGGTGACGTCTGGTAGGTCAGCGTGGCGATAGAAAAGAACGTATCTCGCCGTGCTGTGGTTTGTGCACCAGGAGATTGCCTGTAGCACGTACTGGGGAACGAGGCGATTGTAAAGCCCGTTCGGCCAGAGGGTCCAGGCAATAGGTGGCCACACAGCGGGAAGTCAACTGTCTATTGTATTACCTGTACTTGCAATAAAGATTGTCGTGTGTGCTCTGTGTGCGTTCGGGTTCAGTGTGTGTCAAAGGTTAGTTTGTCTGTCATAGGCCCAGTTAAGAACCACGGACTAGCAAGGTCACCCAGAGGTCTGTGACAGGTTATATTGCGACCCCTGGCAATAGCCAGGGCGGGTCTTTAAAATAACGAGCAAATTACATCCCATAGAGGGATGAGAAAGTCGTACTGGGTTAACGAGATAATGATGTCGAATTTAATTATGATGATGTTGATGATAGTGATTAGGATTATGACGATGCTGAGGATAATTACGATAATGCCGATAATAATGTCGATGATTACTGAGGGACTTACCGTTAACATTTTGGAGACTTCAAACAATAAATTTAGATCTAACTGTTCCAGACAAAATGACGTGTCCGGTTGAGTGCTCTGTTCATCAATTTGAGGATTCAGGGATCGTTTCCCGTGACCCCAGTCAGGAGTAAAGTGGATCTGACCGAAGCACATATTTATGGTAACAATGGCCACGAGAAATATGACAAAAGCCCTGCTGTTTTTCATTGTATTTGTTCTGTAAAAGAAGATATATTTTACAAAAACTTCTTGGAAATTTATTAACAGTTTACCACATGCTAATTAGTTACTCGCCACATGATATGGTATTTGTAATTTACATTCCATCAAGTTGTTACATCATGAAACTGAAATCTTAATTGTTTTCTTTTTCTTTTCTTCGCCCATTTAAAATTATCACACCTTCCCCAATATGGGGCGGCGTTCGTGGCTTAGGCCGTTGCGAGTCCGACTCGTAATCCAACGTACCGCGATCGAAACTCACTGCTGGCTTCGTGAATTGTTATCATGGTACGGGGCGTCGCAGGTCGACCCAGCCTAAAATGGTTACCAGGATGGCTGTTCTGTGGAAGTAAAGACGGCCGGCGTAATGCTGACCACATTATCCATCCAGTGCCGATTGGTCTGTAAAAATATGGGACGCTCTGCCCATATACCCTATACGTTTAAGGCGTGAAAATGGATCTTTACTTTACTTACCCCAATATATGATGCAATTTAAAAATATATATATTTTAAAGCTCTACCCCATCTGTAGTTATTAGTCAGTTAGTTAGTCCTTCCTCTTGAACCTAGGGCGGTACGTACATAGGACATATGTCATCGATCTCCATGTCTATCGGTTCGTTACCACCTATTTTAGGTCTTGGATTTTCATTAGGCCCATGGCTGAGCCTTCCCTGGCACAGCCTCTCTTTGTCTTCTTCCTTTTTTCCCCTCTTCAGGTGTCCATATGCGGGCTTGATAAGGGTGTCATATAGTTCCAATGGTGCTTTCTTATACAATGGGATACATTATCTTGCTGGGTCTGTTGTCTTTTTTGCGTATTGGATCTGAAATCTGTCCAGTGAAGATTGAGTATTCTTCTAAGACATTTGGTCTTGAAATTGTCTGTTTTGTAATTTAGCGCTACCCTTGCTTTCCAACGTTCACATCCATGAGCTACCAGCTACAGTCGGGGGCCCTAAAATAACCTAACAGTTGAACGGGGTTTCTGGAACTTGTGCCCAGGTTATTATCTTCCGAACTGAGGCACTTTGGGTCACCGGATGGTTATCGCTCGTTGTGTGGTCATTGTGGGGTTGAACGTTACTTGTTCTACAACAAGACTGAACTACAAGGTTACTTCGTAACCGTTTTGTGGTGGTCCAGTATAACTGCTATATGTGGTGCTGGGTTTAGTCATAAGCTAACTAAGCTGCAGCTTAGGGCCTCACAATCTGTACTGGCCTCATAAACACCCCAGTGTCACTGAGCAGATATATATATATATATATATATATATATATATATATATATATATATATATATATATATATATACACACACATAGATATATACAATCGAGGGAGAGGGTGCGAGACAAGAAATTGGGAGATTGTAAATGAGTTGAGAACTGAGCGTCTGGAGACAGCGTATTAAATATATTAAATATAGACGTAAAGTCCCCGGGACAAATTAGAGTCGTCTGGAAAGACAGAAAGGTGAAAACAAAAAGGGTTTAGTAACACATTTCCTGCTTACTCAGTGGTCATAGAGTACAATTCAAACAGAAATGGCTTTAAAGATAATAAATGAGCTGGTCTCGCATGTTCGTCTTGTCTTCAATGAGTGACAGAAAATGTCAGGGTAAATAAATGCGGCAGGAGTGATATTGTCCACATCGCTATCCAAGTGTTGCAAACTGGTCTATATAAATATGAGGCTGGAACCATTTGCCGAATTCAAGGAAGAAGGAGGAGGAGGAGAAGTGGGAGAGAGAGAGAGAGAGAGAGAGAGAGAGAGAGAGAGAGAGAGAGAGAGAGAGAGAGAGAGAGAGAGAGAGAGAGAGAGAGAGAGAGAGAGAGAGAGAAATGAAATAAGAGATATAGAAAAGCCCGTAGAAAGATTTTTAAAACAATATCAGCAACAGAAGAAGAAGAGGCAGCCGGAAAAAAAATTAGTAGTAGCATTATTATTGTTTTAAGAATAACATTTTTACTATTTATTTTTTATTATATTATTGTTATTAGTAGTAGTAAAAGTAGTGGTGGTAGTGGTTGTAGTAGTGGTGGTGGTGGTGGTACTAATAGTAGTAAAAGTAGCAGCAACAGCAGCAGAAGTAATAGTAGTAGCAATAGTAATAGTAGTAGCAACATCAGGAGCAGGAGTAGTAGTAAGTGGTGGTGGTAATAGTAGTCGTTATAGAAGATGATGGTGACGATGATGATGACAACGACGACGTTAAAGGAGAAGAAAGAGGAATAAGAGCTAAACAGCAACAGCCGCAGCAAAGTGGGAGGAGAAGTAGGAAGAGATCAAGAAGAAGGAGCAAATTGGTAGAGAAGCTTCAACAGAATATATCAATAAGGGAGCAGTTATATTCCAAACAAAAGCATGAACATTTTCACAAATTTTAAAGATATCACAACTTACTTTCCACAAACTGCAACTTCCACGATGATTTTGAACACTCTAATATTGCGCATGAAATCCGCAAAAAATATTCCCTCGTTGTGAATAAATACGTCCTAGCAATCTAGCATTGAACAAAATCCGCAACCAAAGCAGACGATTTCACTTAATTGTGTTTTAATCACGTTGATTGTGGTAGACTGATTTTAAATCATCTGACCGCAGATTCAAATAACCTGTAGCTTAGATATTAACAGTTCGTTGTCTCTGTCCAAACAGAAGATAAACAAGAAACACTTTCGCTAAGTGACCCAGGATTAAACACATTGATGATGACAGTGAACTCTAAAGTCTGTCATCGTTTCCTGTGTACGCTATCCACTGACCATGACGAGATAGGCGGGGGATGCGTGGTCTCGAGGCATGCTGTCCGCCTCGAGTGCTAACGGTTCCGGGTTCAGTTTCCAGTAAGGGCTGGGATTTGTTTTCATGTGGGTTTGGACTTCTAGTAATTTCCCCCTGGTCTCTGGGTAGTTGCCCATGGTTGCGCACGTACCAAAAAAAAAAAAAAAAATCCATTGGCTGTTGGAAATCGAAAAGAGTAGCCTAATGGCGCTGCCTGGGCAAAAATTTTGAGTTTTAAATCTTCCAAAAGTATTTCAGGATCCTAGCCGCTGCTTATAGCCTGTGCATTGTGTTGAGCTTCTTCGGACTCAGACTTGAGTTCGAAGAACAACGGAGCACTAATGGGTATGCCATGATGTTGATCCGTTGTTCAAACCTCAAACCTCAGACGAGATAGGCGTTACTTATTATTTCGCCTGAGTTATAATAACCTAACCACGGGAAAAATGTTTACCCTATGCCACTCACTATACGTTATTCAGTTACTCCTGATTAATAATACAATATTGGCTTTATTCTTTCAGATTCTGCTCTTCTTTCGTTTATTCCCATTAGAACTTAGGTCCTTAACGAACGCACCAACCGGTCTCTTTTTGTATGGCCATGTTCTACCTCCACGACCAGCATCGTTTTGCTGTCTCGAAGCTCCAGATGGTAAGCCCAGAGTATGCAGTCTTGTGGTTAAAAATCAGTTTCCACGAAACTTTAAAAGCTTACAGCGTTGAGTCTCAGGTATAGCATTGACCATGTCTCTCCTGTCTATAGATGTAGTCATACTTCCATGGACAATAGGCAGACAATTTGAAAAATACTTACTTGTAGTCGAGATGTGGCATTTAAGAAAAATGAAAAGAATGCCGTAAAATTAATTAGGAAAAAAAAAAAAAACTAAGCTCAGTCATCATCGAGATAGATGAAAACGTAAACTGTCACCTCGAGACAGATGAAAACGTAAACAGATTAGATCTATTAAACATAGACAGTTTTTGTGTTTCGAATTCCAGAGAAATTTGACTAAAAACCTCAACAAAATGGGAAAGAGGAAAACGTGCACAAAACAACACAACGTAACGTTTCGGCCAGGCAACCTTTTTCAAACACAAGTGAAATACACAAACGAGGAATGGAGAGTATGTAGATCTCTAAGATATCGACAAGAAGACACTCAAACCAATCCCTCTTCATTTTAATAGCCCTGACCACAGCGGTAAAGATGACATATCTGTCACAGCATTAAAATCTTACTCTGGCGATCATACTACCCGCCTCGCTTTGGAAAATCGCCTTATCCACAGCCTTGGCGTTCTTAGTCCAAGAGGTATCAATATCCAACATACTTTCATCTAAATAGTTCTAATCTTATCACATTTTAAATGTTAATTATTTTATTTTATTTCATATTATTACCATATTCTATTTCTTATCAATATCATTTATGTATCATTAACACTTGCATTTCTTTTATTCCCAGTATTGTGACTATATTTTTTAGCCATCGTTTATTTTATTTTATTTCATTTATTCCGCATCACATTTTTTAAACGTCGCTCACGTCACCCCTTACGGCCGAAACGTTACGTTGTGTTGTTTTGTGCACGTTTTCCTCTTTCCCATTTTGTTGAGCTTTTTAGTCAAATTTCTCTGGAATTCATTGTATTTGCTTGACTGCAGTCACCCCCATAGTTTCACCATTTTTGGTGTGTTTCGAACTTGCTGGGTTAATAAACAAACTCAACAACTTGGTAACGACCAGCACAATTGGTAGAACAAGAGCACAAGGAAGAAAAGAGACGATCACCTAAATGGCTATCCTCTGAAAAACAGTCCCAAAATATCAAGGCTGAAAATATACCCTAGCAGGGCCTCATTCACATGAAAATTGCGGACCCCTTTCCGGAGACTACACAACATCCCGCGGAAAAGCTTCCGCCGAGTTAAAGTCACCGGCGAAAGTATCTGACGTGGGCGCGGGGCTAAACTAGATGGCTGGGACTCAAGAGCAGCAGCTACCACATCTCCTGCAGCTTCTTTCATTTTATTTGCTCGTGAGTCCCAGCCATCTTGTTTAGCCCCATTCCGCGCTGCATAGGTCCGCAATTTACATGTGACTGAGGCCCTGTTAGTGTATATTTTCGGCCTCGAAAATTTGGGACCGGTATTTGGAGGATAGCCCATCCTATCCGTGATTCTAGTTTTCGG